GAAAATCTGCAATTGACCAGATATTCATCTCTTTGTCGATTTCAAAGCAGCCTTCTACAGCCCACAAAGGAGCCACCTCTACACTGCTATGTCTGAATTGGATATCCCCTCAATACCCATGCGGCTATATAAACTGACGGAAAGCAATATTAGAAACTATGTCAAGAGCGTGAGGACCTCTCCAAGCCGTTCGATAGCAAATGAGCTTTCAGACGAGGTAATTCCTTATCGTGTGATTTTTTAGCATGATTTTGAGAAAATAATATGAGCCTTCCCAGCTCTTCTTCCATAAGAGTGTACAGCTGCTGCCGTACGCCGATATTATTGCCATCATTGGTCTCAACACCTGCGCCGTGAGTTCTGCCTTATCCAGACTCGATAAGGAAGCGAAGCGAAAATGTCGAAATTTGTACCAGTTAATGTGTTTATGCGGGAAGTTCTTGTTCATTACTTAAACATGAAGAAAAGTGCTACCGAAAGCCATCATATTTTACTGGACGTTAGTGGTGACCATGCTTTAGCCGAATGAACGTGCCAAAAGTGGTTTGAACAGTTTAAAAGTGACAATTTCGACTTAGACGACGGAGAAAGACCCGCACAGCCAAAAAAATTTCAAGACGAAGAATTGGAGACATTGCTCGACGCAGATGTATGCCAGACGCAAGAAGAACTTGCAAAAGTATTAGGAGTTGATCAAGCAACCATTTCCAGACGATTAAAATCATTAGGATTCATCCAGAAGCTTGGAAATTGGGTGCCTTTGAATTAAAGCCAAGAGACGTCGAACGTCGACTCTGCATGTCGGAAATATTGCTTCAACGCCACCAAAAGAAGTCATTTTTGTATCGGTTTGCCACTGGCGATGAAAAATGGATTCACTATGAGAACCCAAAACGCAAGAGATCGTATGTGAAGCCCCCCCAACCATCGACACCCACGACAAAGCCGAATATCCATGGCGCCAAGGTAATGTTATGTATTTGGTGGGACCACAAGTGTGTGCTCTATTATGAGCTATTGAAATCGGGTCAGAAGATCAATGAGGACCTCTATCGAAAACAATGATTCGTTTGAAAAAGGCCATCGCGGAAAAACGGCCAGAATATGCGACCAGACTTATAGCCCAGACATAGCACCTTCTGATTACCACTTGTTCAGATCAATGCAAGATGCCCTCACAGGGGTACGCTTCACTTTAGAACAGGGTATCAGAAATTGGCTCGATTCTTTCTTGACCTCCAAGCCGGAGAAGTTCTTTTGAGATGGGATCCTTAAACTGCCAGAAAGATGGGCAAACATCATAGCTTCCGTTGGGCAATATGTATAACAATTTTTTCACTATAAAGTCTTAATTTTCGAAAAAAGATCCGAAAAAAATGCAATTAATGCATACACCCAATATGAGCATTAAATGCCTTGTCTCCCACTTATGTTGATCTAAGAGGCTGACATTTGTCACCTTGTTTGTCTCAAGCTAGCAAACAGCCAGTGCATACAAGGGTATTGTTCTAGAGGGTGATGGAAGCCATTTACTATATTAGATTTCCAGTTCAGTTTCTTCTTCTAAACTCAAAAAATTTTTTCCTGATTCCGTGGCTTAAGTTAGCATCACTAAGTGTAAGTTGAGTTGCCGCCAGTATTTATATACTTTCGTGAAGAGACCAAATTTCTACTTTTTTGTGTTGGCGTAGAGTGGTCTGCATCAAATCTCACTTTGGGTGAACTTGAGCCAATACACTAGGGCAGTATCATCGACGTTTGCAACGATTCTACCTCCTCGCCCAACGGTTTCTGTTAGCGGCGAGTTAGCTGTTTAACTAACTTTGGAACATGGCGTAATCATGTATGTATGCATATATATACATATAAGCCGTCTTCAAACTTTTTAATGTTTTTACATTAAGTTAATTATTGTTCATCATAGACCACTCACCCCGCAAACCCAAAGTCAAAAACAACTCTCAAGAGGCTGCGGTAATGTTTGTCCGTTATCAAATTTTATTTGTCAACATTGGCATAAGTACGTACTTACTACAATACATAAGTGTTCTACCATCCCTACATACACATATATATGTTTATATGTAAATATAATTATATGTATATGTATAAAACACATCGCCAGTGTAAGCAGTCAGTAAGCCAATTCGTCACCTACCCAAGTGAAATTATAGTCGAGTATGTACATACATACAAACACGTTTGTAGGTATTTACGCTTGTAATGGCTTAAATACACGCCCATTTTGCTTAGTACATACACTTTTGTTGCTTACCAACAATGCCAGCTTAACGGCTTTTTAAAAGCTCATTTCACATTTGACAAGTGTAGGACTTACGGCTGTCCAAAGGCTTACATACATACAAATGTACATATGCTTAGGTACGAAAGTATGTACAAACATGTCTACAAACAATATAGGCATTTGCATGAATACATACATATGTATGAATGCATGTATGTACTAGTGGGTGTGTGTATATATTGTGATGAAAAAGTGTCGAAATTACTAAATTATACCAGAGTTTTGTATACAAATTTTCGTATGCACATATAAGCAGACATACATACGAATACATATAAAATAAATTAGTAACTAACTGCATTCGTATGCGTATGCATGTATATACAACTTCTAATTGTTTACGGCATTGTGCTGTTGCTTTATTTATAACAATCTCTGTTGCGCTCTACAGACTGGGGCCACCAGTGCGTATACGCAACATTTTTTCAACAACGCGGGGCAGTGCGCTTTTAGCCAGTGGCAATTAAAAAGTGTTTTTGTTTTAGTTTTTTTTTGTTTTTTTTTCAAATCCTTAATTAAGCATTTGATAAGCTATATCAGAAATACTCCGCCGATAACATTTGCAAATTAGAATCCACTGACTACTCCAAAATAAAGTTACATAACATGGCGTCTAAAGACCTCACGAAACTACTAATACGAAAGTATGAATATGATATTTATATATACATATATACTACTAGATAGCCGCTGAAGTGCTTTAGGACGAGGTCTTCCTCCGATTTGAGGTATGCGTCTTGCTGTTTTTCAAACAAGGGCGGGACATGCAGTTTATTTTAAGCCACCTCTGAGCAATCGATGGATTTTTATGAGGAGCTTTTTATTTCATGTCAGGTATATACTCAGAGTGCTTGACATTCTCTGGCGAAGAGCGAGCGCAATTAGAAAAATTAGTTTTGGATGTTGGTCGAACCAGAACTCGAACATTGTGATCTATTCTTTCCTTCTGATCATTGAAAGCCGGTAGGCTCAATCCAGGCTCTCTAGATATCTTGCTTTTCCATGGTAATCCTTGTTGTTGTTTTTGTATCCGCAAAAATACTCCGAATTTTTTTTTTCGGGCGAAAGGGGAAATATTGTCTGAGTAATAGTCCATTGGCCGAAGAAAATCGGTTCGTTACGATAAAGAAACACGACTGTCACTGGAACTAATGGATTTTTATGACAAGCATGCCTTCGGTTAAGTCAGGTTGAACTGACTGACTCATTGAGTCTGACATAGACTATACGACATTCATCCGACCAAGCTAAACTGTTACACTCTTTATTGTGCCTCAAGTGTGAAGAACTTTGCTGTTCATTTCATTAATTTAAGTAGTCGCTTTCACCCCTTGGCCATTTCCGATTGAAGGTTCTGTAGCTTTTCTGCACTGAGCACAGCCGGTATCTGCCGAATGCTGAAACCTCACAGATAATAAGTTCCACTTTCTACTTACATTCCTGCGCTTGTTGTAACCAGTCAGACCTATATTAAGGGCTATGTCCCATTAACAGTGTTACCAATAACTGAAATCTTTTACACAGAGCAACCGCATTTGACACCGTGGTGTATGAAATAAAGACCCTTATAGCCGCTTGGTTATCCTTTGAAAGTCAGCACACTGCAATCGCTCTGTCGCCACTTTCATAGCAAGTATTTCGTTTTCGAAGATACTGAAACGGTTAAGTGAAGCTATTTTAGAACCCTCTGCAAAACTATGAAGAGCTTTGTCTGCATATTTCAGTCGTTTGCTCCAGTTATTCGTTTCTGTTGTAATAGCTTACCGAAAGTCAGGTATATACAGGGTATATTCTATTGTTGTTGTTTATGTTGTTGTAGTGGCTCGCTAACCCCGCTTAGAAACAGGCAAGATCAGTCTATGTCACCGAAGTCACCGAAAAGGTGGTTCAGGAAACGAGTTATTTCGACTGGTTCGGAGCAGAGGACAAGGGTTTAGGAGGCATGCAAAGAGGAGATTAGTGTCGTGCAGGGACTCATTGTATCATTGCATGCAGGACATATGTACATTGGTTATGTCTACGACCTAGTCTAGTGAAGTGTACGGGGTAACGCAAGGAGGCGTATAGCCTCGCATCCGTTAGGAATGCTCTGTTTCGTTTAGCCACGAGACTTACTGGTGGGATGCCCAAAATGCTAGTAGCGCTGCGGATGGTCCATACATGAATAACATTAATCTGTAGAAGCTCTTTTTTGTACTTAGCGCTTAGTTTCGTTACCAACTTGGCTTTGCTCCAGATTGAACTTTATTTGCCCAGTCTTTAACTGTCTCAAGTGCCAGCTAAGCCGAATGGCAACAAAGTTGTTTGTATAGCAAAACCAAAGACATTGTCTTACTTTTCCCGTAAAAAATTAAATTTACTCAAATATGAAATGTATGAATTTTATTAACTTTCTTTGTATTTGTTTGCAATTGTGATAAGTGTACTTTTTGAGAACTAATGTGAATTTACTCCTAAATTTTCCAATACTTAAAAGAGAAGATAAATCAAATTTAAATTTTTAAAAATGGCATACTTATAACATGAACTCAGAGAAAAACTTTAAAGGACGTTATGTGAATACATACATAAATGTACATCTAATATTTAGATAGGCAAAGGAATGAGTTTCTGAGAAATATCAGCCGAAAATTTGAAAGTTTTTATTGAAAAATTACTTAAATTTCATAACAAAAAATATTTGCATTAAATTGGTATTGAGTTAACATACTTATGTAAATATAAATACACAAAATTTTAAAATTCATAAATATATGTATGTGTATGTAACGTGTATGCAATATTCTTTTAATCATAATTGTTGTATTGAATGAATGATAATTAGGATTTAGTGATGTAGTCACCAAAATATATAAAATTGTCAACTCTAATTTGGCACAGACAGTACGTTTAATGTTTGTTCTTCCTGCAAAGTTTTCTCAGCCTCTGCAGCTGCTTCAATTGTAGGTGCAATATCCGTCAAAGTTGAGTCTGCTGCTTGGGTTACATCAGCAACATTTGAGTCTGCAACATCTGGTGCAATTCCAGAGCACACTGAATTGTCTGAAACATTCGCCCCGGTTGAAACACCAACGCTATCTACCGCATTCGCAACTATTTCTTCGACTGTTTCAATTAAATCATTAACTACTTCAATTTGTTCCTCATTTGTCGGTGCAATCACATTGCCATTTACATGTTCCGTAACCGGAGCCGGTGATGATTCCTTACCATTCTTATTGTTTTTAGATTTTTGCTTTTTGCGCTGACGTTTCTTGTTCGTATCATCTGTTTGTTGTGTTCTAGCAGCCGTTTGCGCATTTCTAGTATTAACGTCTGTATCGGCAGTCGAGCTGACATTTAGAAACTTCATTTGACTTTGTAAATTGGCCAGAGTTTGTTTTAATTCAGCACAATTTCTAGACATGATTTCCATTTTATCTTTGTCCGATGTACCTCCTACTCCACCGCCGGTTGTTGTTGTTGTTTGTATGGGTTCAGGCTCTGGTGGCAGTTGTGGCAAGGCAGGACATTCAACATTATTGTCACGTAACACTTTGTAGAGATGTGAACGTTCATTTTGGAGTGCTCGTAAGAGTTTTTGAAGTTGTTCTACTTGTTTACTGCAACGTGCGGCATGTTCATCACGTTCTTTCTTCTCTGTAGCTAGCTCGATAAGAATGGCATTGCTTTTTTCCCACTTCGATTTCCATTCAAGTGTTTCTTTTTCTACTTTACGCGTATACTTACCCATCTACCAAGAGACGAAATTTAATTATGTTACAAATAAAATAATTGATTACAATATCAATTACCCTCTCCAATTGGACTTTATATGTTGCGAAAATATCATTCGATTTTTGCAATGAACTCTGAAAATCATCATACTTAGATGTATATAGCGTAAGTTGTTCTTTTAGTGCCGCCTCACGTTCTGTCAATTCTTTCAACAATTTTTGTGAATGCACAAATTTTTCTAACGCTATTTGCTTTTCCCTAAAAGAATTTATTTACATGTAGATATTTATGTAAAAATGTATATTCCTGAATATGTACAAACTTCAACAAGATTTCTTTTTCCATTGCAGCCTCAACTTGAACCTTATTTAATTTGGCTTGATGCAATTGTGACTCCAACTGGACCTGTTCGTTCAACTTCTCCAGCTGTTGTTCACGCATATGATATTGCTCCGCCAACATTTTTAATCTACAAATCAATAAAAAAAATCGCAATGTAATTCAAATGAATTGCTTTTTCACTCTGCTCATATAATACTTTTTTGTCATTTCCAAATTATGGTCACGTAATTTTAAATTTTCCTCATTATTTTTAGTTAATGACTGCGTGATATCATTTAACGATGATTGGAACTTCGTCTGACTTTCCTTGCGTCTTTCTTCTTCCTCTCGTATTTTTTGTATGCTTTCATTCTTTACTGATTTAATCAGCTTTTGCTGCTCCCGACAAACCTCCTGAAGCTTATCACTAAAAATCATTAATTAGAACCTGAGAGCATTTTGCTATAGTTTTCGTCTTACCGCATCAGTACACTTTTGTTATATTCACGTTGTAGATTTTCCTTTTCACGTAAAACTGACTCCAACTGTTTCTCTTGCACTTTCATTTCCGCACGCAATTTTCGTGCCCCACGTTCACTTTCAACATGCTTACGAAGGAGCAGTGCGAATTTATCTTCCGGGGTTGCTCCTGCCGCTTCTTCCTCCAGCATTTTTATTATCTACAAAAACAAATCCAAAATTAAAGAGTAATCCACCTTGGCCCAATTAGCCGGCAAGTATGAATAGATTTTCCATCAGCAAGAAATGTATTTGTCGTTCACTTACTTGCTCTTCGATTTTCTGATCCTTTTGTTTTTCATCTTTAGCTTCTTTTTTGCTTTTTGCTGATGCCTTATCCATTTTGAAAATGCGTGAAATTTACTTGATTTTCACACACGGTATGTTTGTTTGTTGAATTATTTTAAAATTGTTTTCGGTGATTTCCTTTTTAGGTAGAAAATCATATATGTCAAACCATCTGGCAAATTATAGGGATGCCAAGCTTGAAATTAGATCCTAAAAATGCCACCTACAAATAATTAAACTTTATAGTTGACTCAAAGAACGTATATGAATAAAGAACGAAAATGAACTTTATCAATTTTTCATTATTTACTGTAGATATTTTAGCAAAATTTCGGTTGTTTATCATATTAACAGCTTCATTCAACAATTTTTGTTGATTCTCATACAACTGAGCTTTTATTTTTGTGTTGATACCCTCTCAAGCGAAATTTTGGTTTCGCTTCAACATATCACCCCTACGAACTACGAATGGTGTGAAGAGGACACGAAACCCTGAGATTGGACCTTCAATTTACGCCCTTTCTGAAAAAGCCAATTTACGAGACCGTCATGCCGCTTTTTTATTCATATACGTTCTTTGAAACTACGGGACTAGTTCTTTAATTAACGCTCTTTCTGAAAGAGCCAATTTATGTTATTTGACATATGCAACTGGATTACGTTCTTTGCCGAAACGGTACAGCAAATATTTCATATCTGGTAACGCTGCAAATTCCATTTAGATCCAATAACGAGTCTCGTTTACCGAACACCTTCCACTTAATCAATAGGTGGTTTTTTCATGTGACTGCGTTTGTCACACATTGAACGTCACTTGGATTTTTCGCCTTGTCTTGTGTGGAACGAAGCACGAAAAAAAAATTACAGCGTAGTTGAAAAGTGATCTTAAATTAATTTTCTTAACAAATTAAAAGTGAAGATGACTAGCCAAACACAAGGTATCCAACAGCTACTCGCTGCAGAAAAGAAAGCTGCCGAAAAAGTAGCTGAAGCCAGAAAACGTAAGTATTGAAGCAATAAAAAAACAAGTTTTTTTTTCTACATATAACTGCTCACCCAACCCCATAACAAGCAACCCATCGGGTCATGTGATAAGCAAAAATTCAACGAGAGTAGTTATTAATTGCTTATAAATTATTATAAACCATTCTAATATTTTTTTTTACTGCAACAGGCAAGGCAAGAAGATTGAAGCAAGCCAAGGATGAGGCTACCGAAGAAATTGAGAAATATCGCCAAGAACGTGAACGTCAGTTTAAAGAATTCGAAGCCAAGGTAAAGAAAAATTTACGATTACTTGATTTTGACGAGCATTGATTAATTTTTCTGTGTGACTTCTCTCAAATAATAAATACATATAAAAATTATTATTTTTTATTTCCTAGCACATGGGCTCCCGTGAAGGTGTTGCTGCGAAGATAGATGCTGATACCCGTACTAAATTAACAGAAATGGATCGCTCGATTGCTACACGCAAGGAACCTGTTATCCAGGAAGTTCTCCAGTATGTGTACAACATTTCGCCAGAATTGCACAAAAACTTCGTTCAGGTCTAAATGTCCTAACTAAGATGTTGGGATTAATACCAGCTTGTATGCATTTTTGTTAATCGTCGTATATACTTGTAATGTTAATTATTGAACTAACCCAACAACAACAAATTAGAAAACTAAGCAGCATATTCCAGAAATTCGTTAACGTTCCATATAATTGCACATTATTGGAGCAATGTCGCCTTTACTTAAGAAATATTCCACATATTCAACGTTCCAATGGGCTAAAGGTCTCTAATATACATAAATACAAAAGTGGGCGATATTGCATCTAATCGTTTTAAGCTAAAAAGTTTTAAAAGTATTATGCCGAAAAGTATATAAAAATGTATGCTATCATTGTTATCATAAAGTGTAACTAATATAACTTATGTTCTTCGCTGTTATGCAATAGTTAATGGATAAAGTGTGAATATTTAAGCAATAAACGTTCCATCATATTTTTCTTTAATGACCTCAAAAAATACTGCTTTATTTTATTCATTTAAAAAATGAAGAATTCAGGTGTAAAAGATCAGCTGACTTTCAATGTTCCAACTCAATTGAATTGATACATGTGACCCACAAACATGGAAACTTGCAACGGAGATAGTTTATTGTTGTTTATGTACATTCCTAAAATATGTATATACATTCATATATACATATTTGTGAGTGTGTAATTTTAACTTTTAGTTATGGCTATACTATTTCGACATTCTATTTTTCAAAATTTGATTAATTTTGGTTCACCAAAACATATCATTTAAATTTTACGACCTAGATGCAACTTGCAACCGCGTATATAACACTTTTAATATGTATTGAAAATAAACAGTGTGTGTAATAACTAAATACCCTTTCTTCTAAGTTGTGCTTTTTTACTATTTGTTCGAAGCTTACCATTTTCCCCCTCTCCCAATTTTTTCTTTTTACATAATAAAAAAATTAATTTTAAAATATAAATATATACAAAGATAAAGAATCCTGTCTACAAAAATATTCGATATATGGCAAAATCACTGAAAAACACAAATTATGTGGTGATCGTTGTGAGATACAAATTTCTCAAGTTAATTTTTGTAGGTAAAGAATTAAGTAAATATTCTTTCCACAACCAACTTCCCAAGATATTCAGTTGTCTCAAATTGATTGATTTTTAAATTTAATTAAATACCAATTCAAATACAAATAACAACAAAAAAAAAGCTAATCGCAAAAAAATTTAGGGAGCAGTTGTAACTTATGGATATTTTTATCATGGTTTAAACGTAATATTCATTAAAAAGAACGAAAAAATCGCATTAATATTGAAGAATCTAAATATTGTAATTATTTTTTTTCATATTGGTTTTTTATACCATTTAATAACTTTATTCGGTTTTTAACGTATTCGGTTTTCCTTGGTACCTAAATTACTGTAATTCGGTAATAAATGTGGTATGGCAACACTGGATGATGAACAGATGACTTGATGACACATTCAACAGAATATTTGACGTTTGTATTTTTCTATTGTTTATTTTTTCTTCTGCCAACAAATTTCATAATTTTCTGGTTTTCAACAAAACTCAATTACTGTGTGTTCCACCGACTGTGGTTTTTTAAGTATATATAAGGTGCAAGTAAAGTGTCACGCAATGAAAGCGGGCACATTTCGTAATACACAATGGGATCCATTGCTTCTCATTGCCCAAATCATCTCGATGCAATCGTGCGTCTATTTCACATTGGGCCTCTTGGTATTCATCGCTAATATATTGGCGGGCGACAATTACACATTGGATAATCTTTTCGAGTATCATGTAAATGCTATATGCTTTAAAAAAACCACATTGTATAACCAATTGTATTTGTTTATTCGAAAGGAAATACACATTTCCGATGTGGGTGGACGTTTAATTATACTTGCATTCGTGCTCAATTCATTTATAGCATCTTTGGCACTGTGGTGTATTGTACGTCGTGCGAAATTATGTTTAGATTTTAGGTGAGTATTTAATTAATTTTTTTTTATGATAATAAACATTTTCTTTTTCAGTTGTACGTTCCATTTCCTGCATTTGATCATCTGTTGGTGGTACAATTCGAATTTCCCTTCAAATATCAGTTGGTGGTTGCTGAATGCGATTACAACGACTATAATGTGCATAGGCGGCGAATTTTTATGTCTGAAGTCTGAATTAAAAGAAATTCCGGTTGGCTATGCAGCGCTCAATCAAAAGTCAGATGTTTAATATCTAATAAATTTATATGATTTCGCATTGGCTTTGGAAATATGTATGACGAAGCGTATTATACTTATAATTTCATAAATCTTATTTTCTTCTGAGTATACGCAAAAATTTACGGTTATTTAAAGTATTTATAACTATTAATTTAAGATAGAAATAAAATTTATAACTTGAAATAAGAGTTTAAACTGTTATTTTCAAACAGTACAATTCATTAACCAAACCATTTAAGGCTTGTATTAGGAAAGGACGATACTGGTTTAAAACGATAGCTAGATTGATATTCACTCCTACTCTAATGTCGTATCCAATTCCAATCGGAATCACCAATAGCTCTTTTGCGACTTCTCCTAATATTGTACTAATCGGAATAACAGGCGATTCACCCAAATAAAATATCTGATATTCTTGTCTCGAAAATCATTTACCCAATTTCTTTATATTGGGAAACGAACTATGAATAAAACGTCTCATTAACGTTATATTCTTCAGCCCCCTCCCATATATTCTCTAAAAGCTAAAATAAAAGTTCATTTTCATTTGCTAAAAAGTACATTTATTTAGCAAACTTGTTTAATATAGGTTCATTTTTATTATGTTTTGTTGTGATTTTTGTGGTAATTTACTATTTGAAATTGCTGTTTCGGTTGATTCTTGTTTAAATGTTTTTTTTTCATATATCCGCTGTTTATTGAATTTATTTATTTCAGTTTTGAAGCAAGCGAGTTTTTTCTTCAACATTTTTTTTTATTATTTTTTAAATCTAGATGTACAATCTTTATGGTTTTCAGATTCGTCATTTTTTAAGTGCTTTCAAATGCATTTAAATTATTTTGTTACATTTATTAATAAAATGAAATTCAAATATATTTCAGTTTTTTTTTTTATAATAATTATTACAATCGAGTGAGTGCCTTCGAAGGTATGTATATTTGTATGTACTATATACATACATATGTGTTTCTCTATTGCGGTTTCGATTTCAAAATATCGAACTAGTCGCGCATTCAACCACACTTAAACAATCTAAGTTTGAGCGCTGCTACTCTATCCACCGCACATACATATATAAATATGCTGGATAATCATATTTGTTGTTTACAGCAATCAAATTCATTCACGCATCCGATTCAAAACTCTAATTTGTTTCTTGTTCATTCGTGCCCCCTTTTCAAATAAATCTTTAATATTTTGCTTTCTTCTTTTTTGCATTTGTAATTATAAATTCAAATATTTTCATTTCTATTATAGATAAATATGCGATATAACTTTTCGGTTTGATTTCATGTAGTGAAAGTAATTAGGAGCATTTTCGAAGCACATATTGCATTTCGCTTTCCCTTTTCTAATCGAATTCGCGTGGATGTGTGTAATCATTTTAGTGTGTACATTTTCGGTGTGGGTAGGATGCCATTATCTTATAGGTATGTGTAAATGTGTATATTTTGTTTGAATGTTCGCTGTTTTATAAAATTTATAATCTATACATAAATAATAGTAATATATAAGTATATATATTTAGAAGTTTCATTTTTGTTTCTTTACTTCGTATCTTTTGTGGTTTCTTTCCTCTACGCACTCTCTCAATTCTCTTATTCTGCTTCATTTCTAATTTCATTTTTTCTTATGTTTTTGTCAAATTATATTACTTTATTTATTTTTTTTTTCGCTTTCAGCGGATATTTGCAATCAGTTCATTTTATTTAACTTCCCCACCAATCGGGACCACCACTAGAGTTGGTGTTGGCATGGGATGATGATGAGTAGCTACCGCCATATGAGCCACCACCGCCACCACCACCGCCGCCGCCTCCGCCACCGTAATATCCACCTCCAGAGCTGCCCCCTGAAAAGAACATTTAATACAACATTTAAATTTATACTACATATCAATTAAGAATCAATCTAGAATAAGCTTCATGGTTTCATTCTTATATCGGCGGGCTATATTTTAATAGAAATTTTTTTTAACTCACCATTGCTGCGATATGAACCGCCACCACCACCACCTCGGGCTCCGCCACCGCCACTACGAGGGCCACCACCACCTCCACCAGACGTTTGACGGTAATCACGTGATCCGAAACCTCCACCATAGCGTCCACCGCCACCACCACCACCACCTCGTCGTCGATTGCCACCATGGGAACGATCCGAGGAGGACATATCCTCAAGGAAGCTTGGAATTTCCTGTTTTGTTTCGATGAGCAACTCCAACAGATCCCCACATATATTGCGATTCTTTTCATTGAAAAATGATGTGGCAACACCGAGGTTACCCATACGGCCTGTACGACCGATACGATGTACGTATTCCTCCACATCGGAAGGTAGATCAAAGTTGATAACATGCTTTACGTGCGGAATGTCCAAACCACGTGCCGCAACTGCGGTGGCAACCAAAATGGGGCAATCACCGGAGCGGAAGCAGCGTAATGCTTCTTCTCGTTCTTTTTGGGTGCGGTCACCGTGAATGCTTGTTACTGGATGATTGCATTGATAAAGAAATTCCTCTAGCGCATCGGCGCCTTTTTTAGTTTCAACGAAAATTAGTGTGAGACTATCCTTTGAATACTCTGGACCTTCGCGTATTGACGATAGTAGATCAAGCAAATAAGAACGTTTGTCTTGCTCATATACCCACAATATGGTTTGGGTAATATTCTCCGATGTGGAACCGACACGTCCAACAGCTAAAAATATATAGTTGCTTAGGAAATCTGAAGCCAACTCCTGAATTTGTTTGGGGAAAGTGGCTGAAAACATAAGAGTTTGTCTTTGACCGGTTGGAGGCATATTTGATTGCTCCACAATGCGACGGATTTGTGGTTCGAAACCCATGTCCAACATACGATCGGCTTCATCTAGAACTAAAAATCGTATATTATCCAAACCCACTTTACCGCGAGTAATCATATCTTCCAGACGACCCGGCGTGGCCACAATCAGATGGCATCCGCGATCCAATTCGCGCATTTGCTCACTTGTATTGTTTCCGCCGTAGAGTACTGCGGGACGCATGCGTGAACGGTATGCGAATTTCTTGGCTTCCTCAAAGATCTGTGTGGCCAGCTCGCGCGTCGGTGCCAGTACTAGGCCGAGCGGATACTGCTTGCGGCGACTGTACTGGCGATTATTTTGCGGTGGCTGGGTTATGCCATGCTCGTACATCTGATTAAGAATGGGCAGCAGAAAAGCTGCTGTCTTGCCCGACCCGGTCTGAGCGCAGGCCATTAAATCGCGTCCATTTATAATGATTGGAATCGCGTATTTCTGCACCGGTGTCGGTTTGTCATATCTAGCCAACGTCACATTATTTCGTATGATTTCGGTCAACTGCACGTCATCAAACGATGTGATGTTTGTCGGTACGCTCTGACCCGTCGCCTCCACGGGAATATCCTCGTATTTGTCAAAGTTAATTCCGGTGTTACCGACACCGAATAGTTCTTGTTCAACACGTTCATCACGTGGTCCCAATTTAGTGTAATCGATGTCGCCGCGGCGATCTTCTTTCCACCGACCACCATAGTTGCGCTCTCCGCCGCCGCCGCCACCGCGTTCATTACGCGGTTGAGCACCGTCTTCGGGTCGATGTTCCGGTTCCTGCCAACGATCGTTGCGTGGCTGTTGTGGTTGGGCTTGATCGTCAAATGCTTCACTATTGCGATTACTATTGCTACCGCCACCTTGGCCGCGGCCACCGCGATAGCCTCCGTTTTCGCGTCGGTCAAATGTTCGTGTATTTTGTGGTCCTCGTCCACCACGATTCCAATCGTCACCACCACGTCGTGACTCTCCTTCTCCTGGTAACGATATCATTTAAAAACGTTATAATAAAACATTCAAGTATAGATACTTAATTGTATTTTGCATCTATACAACATATATTCACCAACTTACCTTCAAAACCACTGTTATTTTCGTCGTATCTGTTACCACCACGACGTCCACCGTATCCGCCACCAGTGTTGTTATAACTACGACCACCGCCGCCTCGACGATACTCTCCTCCGCCGCCGGCGCGTTGTTCTCTGCCCTCGTACTTGCCCGATGGAGCTCCTTCCTCGCGACTATCACTATTAGTGCTAGGTGCGCTGTTGCCTCCTGCACGAAGATGGGGAGGAATATAAACACCGGAATTGGATGAACTCTTCGTTGTTATGGGGCTGCTGTTATTAGCTTTGCCGCCATTCAAGTCCAGACCAGCAACCTGCATAGAGCAAACAAATCAAATATGAAAAAATAGCAAAAAAAATATTAAAAAATAATAGTGCGGGTTTATATGTTGTGACAACTCGATAGAAATATGAAATATTTACTTCTCATTTGAGATATTAAAACATTGGTAAAATTTAAGTTTTTGACAAATCACTCCAAGATGATGCTTCAGATTTATTGACATTTTAATTTGAAATCAGTACCTTATTTATCTATGTAGCGATATACATACATACATATGTACAAATGCATACACCGCACCACCAATCAGCATCAATTAGTTTATAACAGGTTCACTATACATTATGTGAAAAAAAAAAAAAAAAAAAAAAATAAAAAAAAAAAATACAAAAAAACAAAATTAAAAAAAAAAAAAAAAAAATATAAAATAAAACATAACATAGTATTTCAATATAGTGATAACGCACAACACAATAGCTTTGATAATCTAAATATATCAACGGACATCATAACATTGGAGGACGACATTTAGCATTGAGCCTCCAAGTATGTTTAGCAAAAGTAAAGTAATGTGTATTTGCGTCGTACAATCTTAAAATAATTAAGATTTGCAACACAAGATTTATATGGTCAATTGGTTCATGAGTGAAAACTCATATACATACATATGTATATGTATATGTAAGCACATAACGTTTATTTGTAATTCTCACTTCAATTTTTCATTCACTAGCTCTAAATTTAGTCTATATACATTTATACAAATATGCACATATTTATATATGTATAGTTTCTTTCGTTAAAAAATTCTTCAATTCACTAGCCTTAAAAAATTATACACTTATGTAGGTGTGTTTAAACACAAATGCGATAGTGACGTTGGCAACGATGCTCATATACAGGGCCAAAGTCACCCGGCAACAATACGTGAATGAACCTCCAAAAGAAAAAAGAAATTACAAACAACTGCTACATAATTTTATCGCAGTATCCAATACATCAAACTAAATAGTACCGATTATAACAATTTTATAAAGAAACAACCATGCAATGAAAATTTTTATTGTGAAAAATTTTGTGTATGCAAAAAACAATGAAGGCTTACAGACAATTTTAATAATGCGTTTGTAATTATAACAAAGCACACGTAGTAAACTTTATTCAAGACTATTAAAGCAAAACTATTATGAAATAATGAAATTAGCGTAAGCAAAATCTGAAATATCAACAATTGAATTACCCGAAATACAACTCGGCTTAAACTAATCGGAACGAGACGAACATGAATTCACACATCTACACAAATAATGCCGCAAGCGGAACAAAAAAGAGAGCATAAAGAGATCGTGAAGCAAGTTAGGAAATAAAAGAAATGAATTAATCAACTTAGCGAAACGTGGATGTAGTAAGGATCAAAAAAAAAAAAAAAATGATGAACTTGATTTCAAAAGAAAAACCAAGATTATTCACAATGTAAAATGAAACGATGACATCGCACGAACGAACACGAAGGGGTTGAAACGAACGGGTGGTCGTTTGCAGCGGTAACGACCGCGATGGGAAAAGTACGGACAGCATGTGTCGAGATATTATGTTATGAAATCAATAATTTTCTTAATAATAAACAATTAAAATCTGAATGGTGAACTACATAAATCACTATACCCGCACTATAACATATTTCTCCATCGATACTTATATTAAATCCGTTTGACACGAAACTTACCTGCTGCTCTAGACCTGTGCCATTTTGGTTAATAGCATTACTCATATTACCCTCCAATCAGTTGCTGGTTTTTTCTTTCTTTCCGTTTAGGAAAATTTACAATGCTTGCTCACTTGGTTACACTGATTCTATTGTATATAGAAATTGAGAAGAAATAAAATTCAAAATTGTCTTTTCTCTATCTCTAAAGAGTCTCAATTATTTTTTTTTTTGTTCTTATGTGGATGTATACTCCTTTTTAGCTATCTCATCAATTTCTTTACAAAGACTAATGAAAGTTTAATTAGTTAAAATCCTTAATTATATTTAACACTTCTATAAAGTATATAGTCTTTTTGTAGTTGAGTTTTACCAACTATTTCCAATTAAGAAAACTTTTGCCAAGTTTTTTACAAATTTTCTGCACACGAACGTGAAACGCGTCGAACGTCTACTTCACTCGTTCAGTAAAAGAAAAAGAAAAATGGCCGAATTTTGCCGACTGCCGAAGCGATGAATAGCACGAAAGCAGGGATGATTTTGTGGAACGTAATCCGAAATTTATGTCAAATAACGTATATAAGTACCCTTGTATTCCTTGGACTAAAAAATATTCAAAAAAGAAACATTTTAAGTTGATGCAAAATGTTTAAAAGCTAAGAAAAAAAACTTTTGTGAAAATTTATACTTGGCATCCTCAGGATTTCGGCAGCTACATGAGGTGATTCATTTTTTATAACCTAAGTAATGCGTTGTACGAAGAACGTGTGGAAAGTTGAGTGTGAATTGGACTTGAACTCCTTTAATTTATGTACCGTGAATAATCTGTTCGTTTAACTGCTAAAATTGATATTGGATATTTCGAAAACTTACTATGTTTTTTACACGATTTTTTTTTTCAGTCCACAGTTTTAAGAGCTTAATATCTTTCTTTAAGCTGCAACTTCTTTACTTTTTTATATTTGGTTTATTGAGTTGTTTTCGGTTGGTCAAATTTTAGGAGATGAAACAGACAAGCCAAAATTTTGTTGAAGAAGAATTTTGATGAGAAAAATAAGAAAAATCAGATAGACAATAAATTTTATTTTGATTCTAGTTGCAGAGAGTAATTGAGTGAAAAATTTACAATGCGTTTTGCTGCCATATCAGAGAAAGTCCTATTCAATTTAGAAGGACTTAAGCGTGGCATTAAGAGGAATCACAAAAAACGCTGTTCTCATATACTTGGGGCGTCTATAAACCACGCTCTAGTATATGTAGATTAAATGCTTCATTTTCACTTTAAAAAGTTATCCGTAAAACAATTTTCATATATTTCTCATTTAAAGACTGGGCTTGAATTTGAATGGTAAATAAAGACTTAAATTTAAACAAAAGACGTAAATGATTTGTATCAATGAAACCATTAAAAATGTATTGAGTCTACAATCCAAACAATTCGTTTTCAGTGAGTTTTTGATGTCGGTTCGAACAAGATATAAACTAGGTCAAAGTCGGATTGAACTTCGAAAAACTGATAGCCCTAGATATTCGCAGTCCGTAAAATCTTGGAAACTTCTTAGTTTGAGTTTACTTGAGAGTACTTTTATCGCTAATTATCGCCCTTCGCGTTCACACAGACACTTTCATCAAGCAATTTTTTCGACATTTATTTCTTCTTCATTTTGTTTATCTATTCCATTTTATTTTTCTAAAATAAAAACACTATGTTTGTGTAAAGGAAGACACAGCTTTTATTTATTTTGTTTTTTTATATATAATATTATATTTTTACATTTGATTAAACATCAACCCTACCATTTTCAAAGTGTAATCTAATTACATATCTCATCATTTTCGCTATTATCAGAGTCAATCCCAAAAGTTCTATCCATTCTAATATTTCTTGCATTAATTCAACTTTATGTGCAAACTGCATTATCTGCGCATTATCCAGGCATATATGTTTAATTTCCAAACTTACAACATTTAATTTAAGACAACTACAATCAATTCAAAGTTAAAAACAAAATAAAAGAGAACGCCAAAATCTACAAATACGAATAAAAACATAAAACGTGTCGGACAAGCACAGCGACACGGTGCGCTGTCGTCTTCGTCGCCGCTCTCCCTTCATTATCCAACAAACGAGTGTTTCGTCGACAACAAGTATCCCGTGTAAGCGCGGACTTACAATGTACATATAGGCCGAATATACGTTCACAATGCAACCTTGTAGTTTTGTAATTTTTATACTAACATCAGTGCAACCATGAAATGTATATTTCAGCTGGTTCATCACTGTTTTTGTTTTAATTATTGAGGACACGTAAATAAAAAATTGTGTTGAATTTGTAAACCAAATTTAATAAAAAGCTATTTAAACGATAAGAGCAGGATATATCTAATACCATTGAAATTATGTCCACCGAAATAGATGGAAAAATTGTTAACCAGGCGGTCAATGAGGCCAGTGGTTGGGATCAAGATGATGATGACAATTGGGATGATTGGGGCGATGCCGAGGAAAACTTTGATAATAGTGAAATTACAAAACTAAAGGATATCAGCCATAAAAAGAACGAAACAAATACACAAAATAATAATTTTAATAAAATACAAAAAACAATAGTTGGAACAAATCAAGACCCAAACAGCAATTCTGATATATCTTCAGAGCCAAAAGATGTACAATCTCCAAATTCTGTAGCCTCACAAAAACAAGCTACTGGATGGGGTGGCCTTTTTGGAGGTGTTGTTTCCGTATTCTCTACGGCTACTGAAGGTCTCGGAAATATTACATCAACAGTGAGTCAAGGCCTTAATCAAGTAATTGGTGTTCCCGATCCGGAGGAGCTAGCACGCATGCAAGCTGATGAAATAACCAAATCACAGCGTGAGTCAGTAGCTCACAATGAAAAACAAAAAATTACAAAAGAATGTCGTGAAAGTTACATTCAAGAACAGCACGCATCGACGCCAGTGTTTGGTTTGAATATTGTTAGTGGAGTGACAAACCTTGGCTCGAAGGTACTGAATACTGGTTTAGATACGCTTGAGGGCATTGGAAAAAAAACGATGCACATATTACAAGAAAACGATCCACTGCTGATGAATAAAAGAAAGCTTCTTGGTTTGGAACAAGATAAGCCGAATTTGAGTGAGGTTTGTGCAAAACTTTTAATGATTTCATATAAAAGACTACAATTTCTTCTGTTTTGAATAGGTTCTCAAAGAGGCAAAAAAGGATGCGGATCAATTAGAAAATACATTGAAAGAGTTGAAACTTGAAAAATCACGGGAAATGCTACGCTTTGACTTACTTTTTGAGAATAATTGTGGCTTGGTGCACTTAGAAGCATTAGAGATTTTATCCAAAGAATCGACACTTAAATTACAAAAATTACAAGATGCTGTTAGTGGCAATGCCCTTAAAGAATTGCAAGAGACTATTACTGAAGTCAAAGAGCTGATGGAGTTGGAGGAGTTAGAAGGCGAAAGTGATGGTGACTACAGTGCGAAAGATTTGAACGCGCGTTTAATGAGCGCCATTGAAGACGTAGAATTGCAAATTAACTTCGATGACATTGTAATGTAAGCAAAATAAAATATTTTACTGTGTTTATTACTTTCATCACATATTCAATATTTACAGGAAGTGGGACAAAGCACTGGAATGGCTTCATATAACCCCAACTGTTGATACCAACGATGCTGTCCAAGATACTTTTGCTCACGGCATTACAGCGTTGGCTGAAACATGTGCGCTTCAAATATGTAAATTACATAAAATCGGCGAATTACTATTGGTGAAGGATCATCACAGTACCGCTAACGAAGTCGATAGTATTGTTCAGTTGTGCAAACAATTCAATACACACCTGAATGGTCTCACAAATCGTTTCGCTGCCACTTTAACGAGTTATAAATCAGACATGCAGGCAGATTTGGAAGATGTGAAAAAGAGACGAGTAAGCACACTTTTCGCTGAAATGTTAGTGGCGAATCAAAATATAGAAAAGGCTTTTCATCTGTTTTTACCCATATTGCAAATTGGAGCTGTGTAAAAGAGCTGTTCAATATAGAAAATTAAACATTACCCTGGCGGGCTGCGATTGCAGTTGTTACAATAATCTGTCTTATCTTTTTTATTCCTTGTATTAATAAATGTGATTTTTCTTTACTTGCTTACGCACGAGATTTTCAGTAAAGTTTTGCTTGTTTTTGAAATTATTACACTGTAAAATATTTGTATTTGCAAATTTTAATTTGACTGTTATTATCCTCCTCTTTGATTTGTTTAATATACATACATGCATTATGAATCGTATAATAAAAGTATTTGCTGTTTATAAAACTAAGTGACGTTTTATTGTTTCAACTAATTTGAATAACTACCGTAAATAATTTTAAATTTTTTTTGTTTGCAGAACAGTGTAGTGGACCTTTTTCATTAAGTCAAATATTTCCGTTTAATACGATGAGTTGTTAATATGCTATTACATACGTGGCAAATGGGAACAATTAATTCATATATATTTATATGTATATGAGCAATGTGGATGTAATCATCAAAATTATTTCCATTCTGACACTAATAACATAGATTTTGAAAGGTTTTTATGTAACTGAATATTAAAGACTCAAAAACAACAAGTCTTTTTTCCATCACAAAGCCAAAGTGCCACAAGCGGATAATCGACTGCACTTCCGACTGAGCTATGTACATTCAAAACCTGAGATCTGGTTTATTTTTAGCCATATATCTGTAAAGAATTCAATTAAAGTTATTTAAAATAAATGAATTCTCAAGTTAATCTGATTGAACTTACTTATCCAATGTCTCCCAGAAAGTCATTAATACAGCACGATCCAAATGTCGCTTGTTCTGCGATAAGTTCAACAATGTCACTGACCACTTTGAAACGTTGGTGTCCAGTTTTAGTTCACTAAAACGTAAGTGAAATGCACAAACTGTCGTGCATAAAAATCGTTATGGTCTAGTTTATAATATAATTAATTTTGGTCTACGTACTTTTTGAGAAAATTTCAACTGGATTACCATCCCAGGGCCAACCTTTAAATTGCCAAGCAGGTCCCATAACAAATACTGCAACGACTCGTTGCCAGTCTTGGGCCGACAGTTTTTGGGGGTTGTCGATAACGCGGTATGGCACAGTTTGGTTGTTTCGTTTGCGCTAGTTTTTAAAGAAATAGTAGCAGTACAGCAAAAATTTAAAAGTATTACTCGTGTAAAGCAAACTAACCTGCAATAGCACTTCATTATCCCGTGCAGAACCTGTTCGCTTTTTGTCTTCGGTTGATACATACTTCAAATCCTGCAAAATATCCTTAGCATTGAACATTGTGATTAGGCTGGTGTTAGCTGAGGGTATTATAATGATTGGCGTACGAGAGACACGTTTCTGTGCCGATGGCGCCACTTGACGAGCTTGAGCAGTAGGCAAAAGCTCCTTGGGACGGCCAGCTAAATATATATATAAATATACATAAAATATAATTAAAAAAATATATATTGTAAACTTGTTCGCTTACGTATTTGTGGTGCCATGTTTGCTTTGCGTTGCGCCAGAGAACCTTCTGTCACTGATTTAAGCGACATGCCATGGTATGTACCCAATGTATCAATTTTGAAACCCTCGGTTTCTGCATAATAAAGAAAAATTTTTTTAATGAATTCATAAGAAATGAATTACATTCAGACATTACCTTCTTTCTGCCTGTTGAAACGTTCCTGATCATAACGATTATATTGCGTTAGCTGAGGTTGTGGTTTTGCTATGCGCGCTGGTTCTGGCATCTTAATAGCTTGCTGTGCTGCCGGGCGATTGCGTCCCTCTTCACGTGCCTTAATTCCCTGCAATATAGCAAAAATATTTTTGGCGAACATCTTTCCTGCACTCTGTAATATTGTGGTACGCGTGCGCCACTGTCGTTCGCGACTTATAATGTGTTTTGTCGAATCGACATCATAATCTAGTATAGCACGCAAATCCGTAGCCATGGCATCTTCGTTATCTGTCCGTTTGATGGTTGTACGTTTATTAGCCAAACGTTTCGCTTTAATAGCAGCAATCTTTTCAACAGACATTGTTTCCGAGAGGGATTTGATATTGTCAATGTTGACAGTCGTTTCTTTTTTGTTCACATCCCAACGTGCTGCCAACTGTTCCCGCACCTTTTGCACTTGGGTTTCTTCAAACCGCGCCTTCTTAGCCATTGATTCGCCACCTGGTGCATCTCCGTCAGCTTGACGTTTTACTTGCGTGGGTATTTCAAGGGGTGCACTTTTATCTATGCTGGCACATGTTGCATTCTCTCCATTAAGATAGGCAAGCAACTCCTTACGATCTGGTCGATTTACGGCAGGAATATCTTCCGCCTGAAAATAATTTTGATAAGTTACATTACTTAATTTTGAAAAATACTCAAATTAAAACTAATTACTTACTGCACATTGTCGCACATATACTGAGTGCTGTAGCATAACATTTTTGAGCAGATATAGTAAACACTCCAACGTGTAATATTCGCGTGGCGCTCCTTTCTTACCCGAGCTAAATGTATAAAAAAGTTGGTAAGTAATGCAAATTTAATGAAAACACGTTAAGAAGGTTCACTTACCCATATTTTAAATAGTTTGTTTTTACGTTTTTAGGCCATGAGAATTCACCGAAAATTATCTGGTTATCTCGTTCGATTATTTCTTTTTTGTTTATATTGTACTGGCGTAGTAAACTAAGTGGATCCGCCATTGTTTATATTCTTTATGAACTACCAGACACTAATATTTGTTTTCAATTTTTGCTGCTAAGCAGTCAATAAAATATAATCACCACTTTAAATGGTATTTTATAAACGGATATTATTTTAATTTCATAAAATGTGAAAATTGACTTATTTTTGTTGCGAAAGCAAACTGACGTTAGTTGAAGATATTTTGACACACAAAATGTTTATGCTAAATCGGTGAAATGCGTTCGGCTCAACAAAGCTATGTTTCATAGATACACGCTTACTGCATTTCTTATGTTTATTTGGGGAGTTCAGAAAATGTTATATTTATATTAACCTCTTTCTTCTTATCGATCATAATTGAAAATATCAACTATTTAATTTGCTGGTTCATAATCTACATGAAAAATTTATATTTTCAGTATCACTCATACTATATATTACCATATCAAAGAGTCGTAAAAACCTTTTAAAATCATAAAATAATTCTGCGAGCCGGGCCGCTACATAAGTTTAATCTCCTCTGCAACCGCTTTTTATACGCTCACCGAACACAGCTCTGCTTAAACTGCCAAGTTTTCTTTGATTTCTTCAATCGGTTCCATGTTTGCTAAAGCAGATCTTAAGAAATAGTGAAAAAATAATAATATATGAGATAATCAAGCTTAAAACAATCTCGCAAAGAACTATGAACATTTAAGACAAAAACTAATGGTGTGATAAGAAGAAATTAAAAAGTAGATATCTAGAAAACTAAAAAGTTATGGGACAGACTGCAGGCAAAATCGGTAAGTTTGACGCCATCAATTCCAATTAGATTGTATACTATAAGTACATAATAATATCAAGTTCAACTAAGCCTTCAACATAAAATAATAGGACTTCGGAAATTCTCTCCAAAATTACCAAAGTTTGTAAAAACATAATATTTGAACCAAAATGTACATATAAACAGATTTTTATTCACTTGCATATTTGCATACCCACATACTTACTTAGTTGCACTTCTGTTGTTGCGCACATGTGTTCAATTGTGTTGTTGGGTTTATTGCAAGTGAGGGTTTATGATTTTGTTGTTTGTGATAGCACGTTCATACTTCCGCTTCCAGTACTCATAAGGGTATATGCAAGGCTCAGTTTCCTATTGGAATGCGGCGACTATATACATGTGGTATTATTTTACACAATTAGAACATGCAAATCTCTTATATGTTTGTGTGAATACCTGTATGGGTAGTAAATAGTAGCCAATTGTGGGTACGAACCCTAATTTTGTTCTTTCAACTTTATATGCTACTCCTGAGCTTTATTTGCTGGGTTCTAAATATCTGACATGCGTAATTATACATAAATATTATATATACAAATGTACATATGAATATGTGTGCTTGAGAAAAAATCTCGTTGATGTTCTTTCATTTATATTAATTTTAATATTGTCCAAGACATTTCCTATACAAACAAACCAATGTTGAGCTATTCAAAAAGTGTCTGCCTCTTTTTCTTCTTGGGTCCAGTCTACTTTCGTCCATTCGCTCGACTTAACTCGTTGGAAGACCTTGGTCTAATATGCATTATTTCTTCGGCAAATTGAGCATAGTGAATACAGTCGGTGTTATCTAACGGTAGGCCCAGCAAATGAGCTGTTTCTGACCGAAAGGAGAAGTTGTCGGTACAGGACTAAAGGGGGAAGATCTGTCAGCTAAATATTCGTATTTTCGATATGACGTGGTCTTGTCTGGAGAAGTAGAAGTTTACTATGCTCGTTGTTGTTGTAGTAGTAACTGCAAAAATTTTCCTCAAAGTAATTTTTTTTTTTTAAATAAAGTTCGTTCGATAAAAAAATTGATCAAAAGGTCTAATTTTCTTTCGATAATTATCTCTTATTAGATATCGTTTTCGTTTATAATTTTACTTTTCATTTAATCAACTTACCCGTACACATATATAGGTACATTGCATTTACATTTGAGCATTTGCACTTAATTTAGTTCCGCTAAATAAATACATAATATCCGGCTGCACTCACCGCTAATGAAATTTTCTTCCGAATTCTTTTGGTGTTCCTTCCTTTCTCCAACTATATTAGATCACCATTGCGCATGAAGATAAGTGGCAGGACAGTGTAGGGAATTTGTATATATATTTGACATATGTATGTATGTATTTATTATGTTTTTTTCTCGTATAAAAGTGAGCATATGTTTGTGGCTGCTGTGGCGACTGCTGTCGATAAAAGATAAATGTAATTTAAAATTCATAAAATATTAAATTTTTAAGAGGGTGAAAAAGTAGGAAATTTGGTTTCGATCGAACAATATGTATGTATGTATGTACGACTATGTATAGTAGTAGTAATATTTAGGGGAAATAGCAAGCTGACAGAAATTCAGAGGGCAGAAAGAGAAATGGAGCAACCATCATGCGCTTTTTGGGGTTGTTTACGGAGTTCTATATTTCAGGGTTCTGTAGTCAAATGGCATTTTTCATACATACATATGTACATACGGTTTAACATAACAGATTACAGTTGTAAAGAGTACGCGTGTCTAACGTTACCATATGTCAAGGAACCAAGAATTTTTTTTGGACCATTTGGGCATTCCCATATCGTAGTATTTATCAAAAGCAGCGCTGTTATGTCCGAGCGGACCACCTTATATTCCGATTTCAGTTGTTTGTTTTTCGTTATAAGTTAAACGTAATTAACTCAGTTCAAAGTACTTTTGTTGTAATTTAGTGGCTTACCAAACCCGCTTAGGCACAAGCGAGGTCCAGAAAACGATCTGCCCTGAAGAGCTCGGACCGGGAGAAAACTTCTTGTGAACTTCGATAGCCCCTCGTTAGGGAACGTCAGCCCCTTCGAGTGTAACTGTAATATGAAATATAAAGCTCTCATACACGAGGGGATTAACAAAAGTTCGATAATTTGACCAGAAAAAAAAATTTGTTGTACTTATTCGTAATCTTTGTCCTTTTTTAATTTCTCTACATAATCGCCATGAATTTCAAGGCATTTCTTAAGCATATAGAACCACTTCTGAAAATAGTCTTCAAAATATTGCTTTTTTAAGCTTATCAAGTTTAGCATTAACCGCTTTAATTATCTCCTGGTTGCTATTAAAGACTCTCTCTTTTATTATTATTATTATTTTTTTTTTCTAAATAACCAGGAATGACAAGGTGCTACATCCGAAGAATATGGTGCTGGACATATTTCTTGGATCCCAAAAATCGCGATGAAATTACTTGTTATTTGAGTGGTATGAGATGACGCGTTGTCTTCCTGTCTTCTAACACTTCAGTGTACCATTTTGCAGTTACCGTGTGATGCTTTTCCAGTGGAATAACAGCTATGATTTTAGAGCGGGCATGGAATTCAGGCCCAATTCATTAGCAATCGTGTCAATCGTGGGTCTTTGTCAATTTTGGACTTCAGCAGAGCTGCAGTGGTGTCCTCAGTGAAAGATTTTGACCGACCTTCTCGAGGCTCGTTCTCTACAGAAAAATATCCCGTCTGAAATCTTCGGAACCACGTTAAAAGTACTCTTTAAAGACGGTGCAATAGTTCCATATGCAATTTGGCTTTCACTGAATATTAGAAAAACTTAAAGATATATGTATGTACATAAGTATATTCGGATTTTATCCAAAGCTAGAGCAATCTGGGAATTAATTAATTTTTATGGATTGTGATTCATTTTGATTTTGCCAAAAGGTACAAGGCACTTACATGTTTACATACATATACAATTCCTTAAGCAATTTTTGGAAAATTGCTGTGTGGAGGAGATTTCTAGGATTACTAAACTTACTTAAGTACATATTCCTTACCACATACAGAAATATAAACAAATAATAGTTTGTCCACATATGTCTGTATGTTTAGGTGTACTCGTATACCCGTATGCTACATAAGTACCAAAACGAATTTTTGAAAAGTAAATTTAAAGAAAAACAAAATAATAAAATAATACGGCGCTGTGTGAAGTGTTTGTGGAAATTGTAAACGCCAAGGCGCAAATGTAAAATATCCTGCGAAAAACTATAATGATAAAAACATACATACATACAGACATGGATGCATATGTACATATGCATGTGCTTCAAAGAATGCCTGCACACCCGCGTAAGGCAAAGGTGTATAGCAGATACCGTCCTACTCTACCAACTGGCTTACATATGTATGTACAAAGTGAGCCATTTTGCGGTTTCGCAAATAAATGCATTTAAAGTAATATTTTTAATAAAATTTATTTTTTATTTTAAAGTTTGAGCCGTGACTTTATATGCGAAACAATAAATTTTGCAAATCACCGCCTCGCGAATTTTCGCAAACCTCGATGCTTTTGAGGTAATTTTCGACCACTTTTTTGGCACTTATTCGGCGGTATCTCAGCACGGGTTTCGGTAAGGTCCAATTACACTTCCAGATCAAACAGCGCATCACACAGTAAGTTTTTTTTTTATTGTAATGGACTTTTTACAATTTTTTACGGAATCTGAAAGTTCCTAATGCGACAATTTTGCTCATTCAAGTATCTCCCGAGTGAAAAATGTGTCGTGCCGCTGAAGTTAATTTTGTTTGCATTGCGAATGGTAAGCTGACTTCACTTGCTGTTCGAGCTGGACTTTATATGGATGTAGGTGTAAGACCAAGTGCAAAAAAATACGCCATAATGTGCCGTAAGAAGGTCTTAGCTCTTAAGCACATCGATATATGTATATGAACATGTTTGGTTTTGACAGCTAAGTTGTCGAAATGCGGCCCTGTACTTTTGAAACCACAAAATGTAAAACCCTATAAAATTGTGATTTCCAGCAAACTATCTTCTATTAGCTGTCATATCTGAAAAAGTCCACCTACACCAGGCGTATCGAACTGAATATACTGTGGCGCACACATGTCGATACAGTGAGATCCTTGCATGTCCTAAATACATACATGCATATATGTATGTATACATATGTACACAGTATGGTAGATCAGACCATCGGTTCTCTGTCGGTGTCGGCAATGGAATCTATATGTGCACATTAATACATAAATGTACCGCTATGTATGTGTGGAAGCGAAAAGAATTTTCATTTAACTTTCAATAGAAATGTTGGCTGGTAGTAAAGTATGTTCAGTCGCGCTTTACCTTACCGGCTAATTGCAGTACCCCAAATATATTATCAGTAGATACTTATGCATGTATGTGCATACACCGATATACATGTATATATTTATAGTGCATTGTATGCATTTTGCGTGAAAGGTACACTACATAAATGAACGAAGTGAAAATGTGCATTATTCCATTTTTTTTCTAA